ACCACAATGCTCCAATATGCCAACACTATCACCCCACGTACCATTATATAGCCCCAATTTGGCATCACAATATTACAATATAACTTCAGAGTGTTACATTTTGACATCGCAATAATCCACTGTGCCATCACAATGTTATATTGTAATTTCACAATGTTGGATTGTGTCATCACAATGTTACATTATGATTTCACAGTGTTCGATTGTGTCATCACAATGCTCCACTGTGAAACCACAATGCTCCAATGTGCCAACACTATCGCCCCATGTGCCATTATAGTGCTTCAATGTCCAATCACAACGTTACAATATGACTTCACAATATTCCATTGTAACCTCTGAATGCCCCAATTTGACATCAGAATGATCCATTGTGCCATCCCAATGTTACAATATAACTTCACAATAATCCATTGTGATGTAACAGTGTTAGAATATGACCACAATGCTCCAATATGCCAACACTATCACCCCATGTGCCATTATATTGCTCCAATGAGCCATCACAACGTTCCATTGTGACATCACAATTATCCAGTGTGACATCACAATGCTCCAATGTGACCTCACAATGCTCAAATGTGCCATCATAATGTTCCATTGTAATATCACAGTTATCTAGTGTGACATCACAATGTTCCATTGTGACATGACAATGCTCCAATTTGAAATCACAGTGCTCCAATGTGCCAACACTATCGCCCCATGTGCCATTATATTGCTTCAATGAGCCATCACGAAGTTACAATATCACTTCTCAATGTTCCATTGTGACATGACAATGCTCCAATTTGAAACCACAGTGCTCCAATGTGCCAACACTATCGCCCCATGTGCCATTATATTGCTCCAATGAGCCATCACGAAGTTACAATATCACTTCTCAATGTTCCATTGTGACATGACAATGCTCCAATTTGAAACCACAGTGCTCCAATGTGCCAACACTATCGCCCCATGTGCCATTATATTGCTCCAATGAGCCATCACGAAGTTACAATATCACTTCTCAATGTTCCATTGTGACATGACAATGCTCCAATTTGAAACCACAGTGCTCCAATGTGCCAACACTATCGCCCCATGTGCCATTATATTGCTCCAATGAGCCATCACGAAGTTACAATATCACTTCTCAATGTTCCATTGTGACATGACAATGCTCCAATTTGAAACCACAGTGCTCCAATGTGCCAACACTATCGCCCCATGTGCCATTATATTGCTCCAATGAGCCATCACGAAGTTACAATATCACTTCTCAATGTTCCATTGTGACATGACAATGCTCCAATTTGAAACCACAGTGCTCCAATGTGCCAACACTATCGCCCCATGTGCCATTATATTGCTCCAATGAGCCATCACGAAGTTACAATATCACTTCTCAATGTTCCATTGTGACATGACAATGCTCCAATTTGAAACCACAGTGCTCCAATGTGCCAACACTATCGCCCCATGTGCCATTATATTGCTCCAATGAGCCATCACAACGTTCCATTGTGACATCACAATTCTCCAGTGTGACATCACACTGCTCCAATGTGACCTCACAATGCTCCAATGTGACATCACAATACTTCAGTGTTCCAACACTATCACTTCATGTGCCATCACAATGCTCTACGGTGCTATCATAATTTTACAATGTGACTTCACAGTGTTCCATTGTAATATCACTGTGATCCTGTGTGACATCAAAATGCTCAAGTGTGATATCACAGTGCTCCAATGTGCCATCACAATGTTACGATATGACCTCACAATGTTCCAATGTGATTTCACTGTGCTTGAATGAGAAACCACAATTCTCCAATGTACCAACACTATCTCCCAATGTGCCATTATATTGCTGCAATGTGAGATCAGACTGTGACATTATGACTTCTCAGTGTTCAATTTGAAATCACAATGCTCCTGTGTGATATCACAATGCTCCATTGTGACATCACAATGCTCCAATGTGACATCACAGTCCTCCAATATGATATCACAGTGCTTCAGTGTTCCAACACTATCGCTTCATGTAACTTCACAATGCTCTACGGTGCCATCACAATTTTACAATATGACTTCACAGTGTTCCATTGTAATATCACAGTGAACCTATGTGACATCACAATCCTCAAATGTGACATCACAGTGCTCCAATGTGCCATCACAATGCTCCAATATGACTTCCCAATGTTCCAATGTGATTTCACTATGCTTCAATGAGAAATCACAATTCTCCAATGTGCCAACTCTATCTCCACATGTACCATTATATTGCTGCAATGTGCGATCACAATGTGACATTATGACTTCTCAGTGTTCCATTTGGAAATCACAGTGCTCCAATGTTCCAAAACTCTTGCCCCATGAGCGATTATATTGCTCCAGTATGCCATCACGAGGTTACAATATGACTTCACAATGTTCCATTCTTTGCTTAGCCTCTTAACCAAGACAATTAAATCTATGGCTTCAAATTACAGATGAAGCAATAATATCCACTTGTTTATTATATACAATAAACTATGAGTAAGACTTACAAAAATCAAAACTCTGTATTTCACAAAATCTGCATCTGTCTCAAACTCTAGGTTGATTAGAAAGGTGCCTTCAAAGAATACTGACCATTAACCTTTAAATGCAAAGTGACCTTTTCTAAAAAATTAACATATGATACATGAACCCAGAATAATTAACACATTCTAGGTCATACAAAGCACTAACAAAGGAAAAATGTGATGGCCTGTTTAATAATTACTTTACCCCCCCAAAAAAATCACCTTTGTCTTTATTTCCATAAGGCACAATACATTAGTATGAAAATATAATTCATCATATAAACAGAAGAGCAATGTGGCAAAAAGCAAATATCAAAAATTTTCAATTACCATCAATTTTATGTTTTTTTCAAAATGTAAAAGAGATGGGTCAGTGGTTAAGAGCACTGACTGCTCTTGCAGAGGACCCGGGTTCGATTCCCAGCACCCACATGGTGGCTACAAACCCTCCTTAACTCTAGTTCCAGGGGAATCTGAAGCTCTTTTCTGATCTCCATGGCATTGCACAACACGGGTACACCCACATACATGCAGGCAATACACTTATATACATAAAATAAAAATAATAAGTAAAATAGGCACATAGAAGATGCTCCAGGAAATGTCAATAGAAAATGGTCAAAAACCATGTGGCCACAAGAATCAATGAGTCACACAAAAGAAAAGTCACCAACCATGACTACTTCGACACTAAGAACAAAATGGTGCAGTATCAAACAGATGCAGAATGAAAATTTGAAATGCCCTGTACAGAAATATTTCAGGAAAAATAAAAACTATTTTCTAGCCTAATGTCTCCAGAAAGGCTTTGGCCACGAATTTTCTTAGACCTTCATGGGCTCCTGGGGCCATTTAGTTGGTAGTAAAGACCAAACTGAGCTCTCCAAGAAGGAAGCAACGAGCCACATGTGGCTAGCAAGAGCTGAAACATGGCCAATCCAATAGAAATGTGTCAGGAGTGTAAAATAGACACCCAACTTCAAAAACTTAACAAAAAATGAAAATTAGCTCATTAAGAGTGCTGATATTGATTACATGTTGAAATAGTACTATGTTAAATAAAATGTTTTGTACAAATTAATTTTCTTCCTGTTCCCTTTCTTTCTTAATACGATGACAAGAAATTTTTTTAGTTATATATCATATTTCTATTTGATATTACCAATTAGAAAACAAGGCCCCCCAAAATTTACTGACCTAAGGGGGTAAGAGATACAGAAAAGCACAGCTAAAGACAACAACAAAAAAGAACTATAACCTATGAAAATTAATACAAATGTAAAAGACAAAAATAGAGGAACTATGGAAACAGAAATGCAAATGGCAAGACGTCCTTTTGAACTGTACTTTACTAACTAGTCATTACCAATTCAAGTGATTTTTTCCACTTAGCATACTTTCCAATCTAACTCTTTAATTAAGAAATCTCAAAACTTTTATTTTCAAGTAACTATTTTCTTAATGAGCAGTAAACTGGCCATTCCAGTGACTTATCTAAAAACATCTTTAATAGTGCTTCCAGAAGTTCCTCAAATAAAATTCCTTTCTAACAACGAAAAAGAAAAGATTACTGAAAGGCCACCTCATCAGAATACACTCAAGAAGCCCACTCAGCCTCTACATTCACAAAATACTAGGCAAATAAGAAGTGGTAGCTGTTGATCACTTGAAGACACTCTTCTTTCTCTAATCTTAATGTTTTGCACCTGCAGTTTTGAGGTAAAATGTCTTTTACAAACCTTGGAGGTACCATCAAACAGCCCTATATTCCTGCCCCACACCCTCTAAGGAACAGCTCACCCAGAACTTCCACAGCTTGAAGAACTCTTCCTCCCTAATTTAAGGGCATTTTTAATTAAAAAAATGCCTTTTATAACATTAGCAGAATGATAAGGTAAATGGTAATGTTATAAAAGGCATTTTGTTTGTCAGGAATCAAATGAGAATTGAAGAAGGACCCAGTGGCATTTTCATGATGTAGAAGTGGCTTGCTCCATGAATGCTGTGATGTTAAAGCATCAAGTGCACACGAAACAAAATTATGCTAAAAGTCAAACAAAACTCCTTTTTCTAGAGTGCAGAGCCACATGGAGCCCTTTGGAAGCCGCCACATCTGAGCAGTATCTCAGAGTCCCTGGCCACCTAGTGCCAAGGCACTGAGGTCAGACACAGCCAAGTCTCTGGGAGCCAGGCAGGAGCACCCTGGTGCCTGGTTAGCATGAGCCTCCGGGCTAGTAGCCCCGGCTCAGAGCCAACCTGCCTGAGCTATGTTGTTCTGGGCCATGTGCATTTGAGACCTTCAAACAAGAACAGCAAAGTCCCTAGATCTTGTGACTACCCCCTGGGGAGTCAGCCTCTGTCACCCATCCCCCCAACCCTCTTCTGCCCGCCTGTGTGCCATGCCCATTGCTCCCCCCCAAAAAAACCACAGACGTGCAGAGCTGGCATTGTTGGAGTCTTTTATTTCCTGTTATCACCAAGGTCACAGTCCCGACCCAGGTGGTCAGCAGCTGAGCAACGATGTCCATACTCCTGGTACCCCATCCACAGGGGTCCTCTTGGTAGAGCTGGATGCAGCAGTTGCCCTCTCCTGGGTCTTGTCCTCTCGGAAGGCAGCAGTGTAAGTGGCAGTGTGGACAGCACACTGCAGAGACAAGCGCAAAGACACAGCACTGCACAGAATGGGTCAAGCAGAATACAGGAGCAGGACCTGAAAGTCTGGAAATGGACAAACCTCAGAAGAAGGGGGTGTCTCTCTAGAGAGGAGAAACTACCTAAGAAGTATGAAAGAAACAGAGCAAGCAACAGAGCCAGGAAAGGCCTGGAGTGTCCTTTCTTGAATTCTGCAGTGCCTCACCAAGAGAGAAAGAAAAGCATTTTTACCTTCTGCCTCAATGGAAGATAGGAGTAGGGCCACGCCCAGGGCGGCAAGCACTGGGGAAAGCCTGGTCTGCATGCTCAGGTCTCCAACTCACACCCTCATGAAGGGATCTACAGGGAGAAGTAGGGATAGCATCAGAACCCAGCCTAAGCAGGCCTGGAACCAGGTTAGAACTGGCCCTAAACATGTACAAACCCAGCCAAATCTGCCTTAATAACCATAGGGCCTGGCCTAGCACATAATGGACCTATTGTAGAGCCATGGGAATCAAATTCATCTTATAGGTTCAGTCGGGGTACTAATAGGGAGTTTGAGTTTAAAAGGGTTCTATTTTCCCAGGCACTCATCCTGCCTAGCATCCCAGGAAGGCCTGACCAGACGACACATGACTTCATCCTGCCGGAGGTGATAGATAATTTAGAGGTCATTTTATCCCTGACTCAACCAAGTGTCTCTTCCAGCTGGAGATCTCATTTGGCTGCGTTTTCCTAACTGCTGAACTCTTTAGGTAACTGTGCTTTATGGTCTCAGGGTAATTTGAAAAAAGAATATTTTCTTCAGTTTGTCCTCCCTACAAATATGCAAGCCTTTAAGATCCGAAATAGATTATATAGGAATATGTAAGTCCTAGCTAAATCCTGATTCTTCTACTAAGCATGTTGTTGTCACGTCTGGTAAACCCTTTACCAAAGATGAGGAAACAACTCTAAAATGTGTATTAAAAACAGCCAAGGCCAGTAGAAAGAAGCAAAACACTCTTATCTGTTTTCAAAAAGTTCTTAAATTTTAAAAAGCTCGGTAATTCACCTTTGTGTTTAACTATTTGATTGTCCTGGAAGATTATAGTTAATACATACTCTGGAGAAAAATGTGCTCTATTTTGATGTTTCCAGACTTTGTAACTAGATCCTCAGTTCTTTAAAGAGAAAAAGTCAAAAAGTTACCCAATGCACAGTAGGTGATTAATCAGTTGAATGGAATCTCCTATAATCTCCCAAGAGCTAATCTTTAAACAAAAGCTACCAGCAGTGATTTAAAACATTTAAAAACATTTTAAAAGGGGCTAACTCTTAGGTACACCAATGATTATAAGGCAACACCATAGGCCTCAGAAAAAAATTGAGGGAGGAGAGAACTGGTACTTGGGAATTCAAAAGAAGCCAAAGGCTGGGCTGTCCTTGAGAAAAGAAATTGACAGTCTCCAACTATGTCTTTCAAAATTACTGGCACAATGCATCAAGGCAGCTTTCCTCACTGAGTGTAAATTGCATTCTACATGTCTTAGAAGCCCTCAAGCCAAATTGCCCAGAGCTACTTTTATGAAGCCAAGATTAAAATTTTGGCACGCTTTCCTCACTGAGTGAAAATTGCATTCTACATGTCTGAGAAGCCCTCAAGACAAATTGCCCAGAGCTACTTTTTATGAAGTTAAGATTAAAATTTTGGCACTGCTCTGAGGATCCAAGGGATTTCAGCAATGTTTTTTTCCCCTAATTAACAACTGTGACATTTCTAAACCTCTCTTGCATTAGTTAAAATTAATTAACTTTTCAAATACATTGGGCAGGACTGACCCATTGTTCCCACACCAGGCAATAATTTTGCTATAATAATTTGCATCCAGTTGACAGCTGTGCTTACAAAAAGTTGAATGGTGGTGCTCCACCCATGAAAAGCTGTGTGTATTGGGGGGGCGTGTTTGTGGTGAGGTTAATAGCCAGACAAAAACGTGAGGCGTAGAAGAGCTTTTATCTGAGTCTAGAGCACCACCTATCGGCTTCCTGAGTCAGCGTCAAGAATGAATCGCCCCTCTTTCGGGTATCAGATGGGGTATCTCAGCCAGTCAGAAATTCCATCAATATACATTTTAAAAAAGAAATTATTCTCTCACCCGCTTAGCCAAAACATTTATCTGAGTGCTTAGCAACACTTCATGGAGCGTTCTTAAACATGAATGTCTGAAAGTGGCCACCCCTACTTGGCAGAAGGGATTCCCTCACTTCCCCTCATGAATGAAAATGAGTGGGAAGTGGGGGCGCTATGAGAACTGGACCCCTCTGACAACTCGCCCTTCATTCACCCCTACTGGAAGAGGCAATTCCTGTATCTCATCAAGTTAAAAAAAAAACACACACACACACACACACACACACACACACACACACGTTCCCTGGCCCCTCTAGATTTCATGCTGGTTACCTACCTTTTCCCCTACCCTGGCAACCTTGACCTTAGTTAGCCAAGAACTAGCTTAACTCTTATCTCTCTCCTCCAGCTTCCAGTATTCCTTAGAAGACTCTACGCTCTGAGTGACTGGGGGGGATCCCCCAAAGCCCCAAACTGGTCAGTGGAGGGTCTCTTGAGGCTTCTGGATGTGGGTCCTGTCTCCTGGGTTCCAGGTCCCAGCTCTGTGAATGCACGCAAGCCACACTCTGATCTCTACACACTTGAGGAGAAACAACCTCAAAAGTCCCACTGACCCAGGGTAGGACTTCAAACCAATGCACTCAGGAGGGATCCCATAGGGACTTTCTCCAGAAGCTGTGAGAAGTCTCCTTAACACACCAACAAGCTAGTTATCCTGGGGAAGGTGGTGGATCAGTGAGCGCAGAGAAGCCGGACTGACCTGAGGTGGCGGGGACCCAGGGATCAGCACCTGGCGGCCTCCACACCTTGACGGCGGGAGCCCGGAGAGGAGGATGGCAGAGGAGCGGCAGGCGCTGCACCGAGCGCACAGAGCCTGGGGACTGCGTTGCTGTCTGTGGCTCACCTAGCCTAGTGGGAAGAGGCTCCGCACTGTGGGCTACTTAATGGAGGGCTGTTTCCTGGCTCTCAGTGTATTCAGTTACAAAATGCCTGAGCAGGTGGAAGGCTGCCACAGGGTGATGTTTGCTCCTCCTGCAGTTAAGGAGGTCTACTTTGGGGAATGTGTGCATACTTCGAGCATTCCTTCAGCGTGAGGTGGCGATCGCCATAGTAGCAGTGACCCGCTGGGGGTGGGGAGGAGTGAAGGGAGAGGGACAGGGGGACAGCCACAGCCGGGTTCCCTGCCAAGGGAGGCTGCGGACTCCTGCGCTTGGGGAGGGCTGGGGGAGCTCGGGTTTCCCCATCCAACGAGTTTCTTTAGTAAGTTTGTCTCTAGGGTAAGAACAGTGGAAAGGGGAAAAGGCAGTTCTTATTCTCAAAATGGCGGGATGTGTAACCCATTCACCAACATTGCATCCTACCCCACCCCACACAGTCCCCACCTCCACCTTCCTCCCCCACTGTCCAAGGTGCACTTAAAACCGATTTACAGGTTTTCCATTAACTGTCTGTGCACACTTGCCCCCAGGGGCCACAGGGGCTGGCCAACACATCCTTGCAGCCTGAAGTCTGGATTGTTTGGCCTCCTATAGTCGGGTAAACAGACCAACTTAGAGGAACAGTGAGTACACCGTCCTGCACCCTGTGCCTTTTCAGGGATCAGCCAATTCCTAATACCCTAGGAATCATTTAAGGCTTGCAACAAAGTCATGGTATTTATGACCTAGGCACAGCTGGTTGTATTTATTCAGTTTAGTGACTTCCTGTGGCTTTTACTCCTCAGGCGACATCCCTGGGTCCCCCTCTCCTCGCTCTGCTCTCCCTCTTTTCTGTCCCCACCTTCCTCTCCCTTTGAGTCCTGGGTTCCCTCCCCCCGGGGGGGGTAGATCCTGAGATTCCTTGGCACACAGCGCCACCTGGAGGCCAAGTAGATATCTGGCTGCGGAAGTCAAAATTCTGCACTGTAGACTCTTGAGAGCTTGAGAGCTTGAAGTGCTTTGGGGGAAAGGTCGCTCATCTTTCTGACTCTCAGGGCTGTGAGGTTTTGGTCAGTTTTTGAAGATATTGGCCCCCCCGGGGGGGGTAGATCCTGAGATTCCTTGGCACACAGCGCCACCTGGAGGCCAAGTAGATATCTGGCTGCGGAAGTCAAAATTCTGCACTGTAGACTCTTGAGAGCTTGAGAGCTTGAAGTGCTTTGGGGGAAAGGTCGCTCATCTTTCTGACTCTCAGGGCTGTGAGGTTTTGGTCAGTTTTTGAAGATATTGGCAGGTACTAGTTAATGAAGCTGAGACTGCAGTGCTGACATTAACTTCTAGAATACTGAAATGTGCTGGGAATCCACTTGACCATTGTCCCTGGGGACAGCTTAAACCCTGTCTACTCCCATTGCACATTCTAGCTGATCCATCTCCTGGGGAGGAAAGGAGAAACATGCTTAGTATCCAACTCAGAGGTCTGTATGTGGCCTAACTGGCACAGAGCCCCGAGCATGTTGAATAAAGGCAGCCCACAATACCCCTTTGAGATAAAAGTATGAAGACAGGAGCTGGAGAGAAGGCTCAGCGGTTAAGAGCACTGACTGTTCTTGCAGAGGGCCAGGATTTGATTCCCAGTATCCACATGGCAGCTAACAACCATCGGTAACTCCAGTTCCAGGGGAATCCGTTGCCCACTTCTGACCTCAGCGAGCACTGCACTATTTGGGTTCACTTACGTGCAGACAATACAATCATACATATAAAAATAATAAATGAAATATTCTTTTAAGTATGAAGACAGGAGATAGGGTTCCCATCTGCTGGTTCTCAGAGCAGACAGGCAGCCTGAATGGAAAACAGTGTCTGGATCTTTTAAGTACCTGTGGACAACTCGACATGCATTTAATCAGCACCCTCCGTGTACCAGTCAAAAGTCAAGCTCACAGCAGCCAATATAAAGGTAATGAAGACAAGGCCTTTCCCAAAAACTCAGTCAAGCAACACCCGGGGCACAGAAGGCAACATCATGTGGCCCACTCAATTCTCCAGAGTAAATGGGTCCTTTAGGGAAGCAGCAGGCAATCACTCTCTCTCATTAGCAAAGTTCAAGAATCCTAGGACTGATGCCATTCTTAAAGGCAGAGACGAGGGGTTCAGTGCACTCCATCTGCCTTGTAGACAGGTTCTGCCTCTTCAAAGGGCTTTATCAAGGAAGCCATGGGTTTTTTGTACTTTTCCCAGACTTCACCTGTACTGAAACACAGCCCTTCAGACCACAGTGTGAGCAGCATTGGAGCAAAGAGAGAAATTTCATCATATTCATCTTAGGGTATAAGGTGTCCGGTCAAACCTCATAAGACCAAAAAAAAAGTTTTGGTTGCAAAGTTTCAAAAACATTGCATCCACATATGACACCTTCCTAGGATGAAACACTCAGGTTCAGTAAAAGTAAGCACTGTCAGGAACTGATTTCTCAGTTCTGACTTCCTTGGGCAAAATGTAAAAAGTTAAATTATTTTATGATTGAAGAAAGCAACCCTTTACCACTAAATTTCCCAACAGTCAATACTCTCTCTCTCTCTCTCTCCCTTACCACCACAGAGGAGTTAGAATCTACTATTTCATAGCTGTCAAAGTAGCCTCAGTTCCATAATTTCTAGTCAGACCACTACTCTGTGTCAATAGTCAATATGTGCATGCTGATGTACCTTTTCAGGTGAGAGGAAACTGAAACATCAGAGGAACTCATTTTTTAAAGATTTGGTATTGCTTTCAACTGGAGCCTCTGGGTGAAGTAATGTGTAACCAGAAAAAGGTCCATTTTCTAGTACATTTCACACATTCACTAATTCATGTTGATAAGAGTATGTGGATGGCT